AAAATATTAAAAAAATAAAAAATATAATTATAATAAAATAATAATATTAATAATAATAATAATAATAATAATAAAAATAATAATAATAATATTAATATTAAATAAAAAAAAAAAAAAAATAATAATAATAATAATAATAATATTTATATTCCTAATAATTATTTTTAAATTTTATTGAATTAAAATTAAATAATATATTTATTTTTAAAATTTTTTTTACTTATTGTTAAACATTATAAAAAAACTAGTATCTTTCATTATTTTATTTAAATTAAATTTTCATAAAGTTTAAATCATAAAATTTTAATAATATTTTTTTTTTTTAAAAAAAAATAATATTTACAAACAGTTTTAATTTTTAAAGATTAATAATTTATTAATTTTTATTTAAAATTGTAAATATATTAAATATATTAAATATAAATAAATTATGAATTTTATTCATTTATTTATATAATTTAATTAATATTTTTAAAATAAAAAACAAAAATATTTAATCAACAATAAATAAATATTTTATAGATTTTAATATTATACTTTTTTTTTATATAAATATATATTATATCTTTTAAATTAATTATTTATTAATATATTATTTTTAACATTTAAATAATTATTTTTAAAAAAAATAATTCTAGATTTTAAAATTATTCACAAATTTTAGAATATATTTATTTAATTATTTTATTTATTTCTATTATTCTAAAAAATAAAGGAATTTTATTAAATTATTAAATTTAAATATTTTTTGAATTTAATTAAACTTATTTTATATAATTTATAGATAAAATATACAATATAATTTATATTTTTTGTAATAATTTTTAAATGTAATTTTTTTTAAATATAAAAAAATTAAAAATAACTTCTTTTTTTAAAAAAAAAAATTAAATAAAAATTTTAATAAATTTATATATAAAATAATATATAATTTTTTATTTCATTGATTTCCTGTAAAAAACTTTGATAATTTACATTCAGAAAGCATTTCATCATCATCATCTTCGTCATTATCATCTTCATTTTCTTCACCATTATTTTAGATATAATCATTAGGTTAGAACTATTATTAAAACACTTATTATTTTTATTAAATGGCATTAATTTTGATATTATCATTTATATTTTCTTTATTAAATTCTTAATAAAACTATTAAATATTGGATGATTTTGCACTAACTATATCTTAATAAGATTACTAATATTATTATTATTAAAATAATTATTATTATTATTATTATTATTGATATTATTATTATTATTATAATTATTATAATGGTTATTAGAATGTTTATTGATTTTATATTTAATTTTGCTTTTTAATTTATTGTTTTCCATTAAAAAATTCTTTTTCATAAAAAGTTTTACTTTCAACATCTAAATTAAACATAGAAAAATTTGATGAATTCAAACTTGAATTTTCTATCAAATATAACAAAAATATTATATAAATAAATAATAATTATATTACGTTAGTCATTTTAATTAATTTCAACAAATTATTTATTTTAATTAAAATTTTATTAATTATCTGTATTTGTCTTTATTTTATTTCCTTACAATTAATTCATTAAAGGACTTTATAAAAAACTATTTGCAATATTTAAAATAGTTTTTGATGCTGGCTTTTAATTAAAAATATAACTATTTTAACTTTAATTATTTTCATTAAATCTATAATTAAATGAATTAAAATCACCAAAATTTGAACATTAACTAGATTGATCTTAAATTAGTTCGCTATTATTATTTTTTTAACAAAAATCTTCTGTATATTATTATTATAGAGGAAATTATTATTATTATTATTATTATTATTATTATTATTATTATTATTATTATTATTACTATTATTATAATTATGTTTTTTGATATTATTATAATTAATATTATTAATTTTATTGTTTCTAACTATCATTTTAATAACTTATATTTTATTAAGAATTTTCATTATAATTAAAATCATTTTTATACAATTAAGATTCATCGTAATAATTTTCGTTTTCATATGTATAAATTTATGGATTATTATAATTTTATTATTTTACGTAAATTTATACTTCTGGCACGTAGTTGTTTTTTTTAAAGACTATATTTATTTAGTTTATTTATCAATTTAAATATTATTTTTAATTTTAGATTCCACATTTTTCAAATATTTAGGTTTCTTTTACATATTTTTCATACTTGAATTATCATTTTAATTAATTTTCTTTTAATTATTTATTTATACCAATTTTTATTAAGTCTTTGTAGTTCTTTTTTCCTCTAAATACTTTTTACTGTCTTCTTAAACAGCTTTTTTTATTTCTGTATTTGTAAATGAACTTTACATACTAATATTTTCCCGAAATTTCGGTGAAATAATCATATTTTGACATTATTAATTATTTTGGGGTTGAAATTAATTTTAGTTTATATTTTCTTTTTTTCTTTTTTTGCTTTTTTTCTTCATCTTTTTTAATTAAATCTTCTTCATTTAGAATTTTTTTTCTATATTTTAATTTATATATTAATTATTTATTTATTTTACATATATTAATCATCTAAATGATGCCTAGTAGTTGATTATATTTTTTAGCTTGGTTCAGTATGAAATTATTGTGGAGTATTTGGTACATTAGGTATACATTATGTTACTTTTGGTGTAAGTTTTTACTTTTTTGATTACAGTCTTCCATTTGGGATAGTTAAGTTACTTAAGAAACTGATTATACATATTCTGATTAAGAAATATTATTTGCATATAAAGAATTTGATCTTTCTCCTGTTCTCCATGCTGAAGAAGGTTTTTTATTAATATCTTTTTTAGATAATTTATAATTATCTTTTTATTTATTAATTTTTTTTATTTTAGTTTTTTTTTTTTTTTTTATAAAAAAAAAAATAATACCTTTTCTTTATGAATTTTAAGAATTTATTCTTTATTAAGATTTAGAAGAATTTAGTTATTAATTTTATTAAACTTTGTTTTTTTCAAAACTTAGAACTTCAAATTTAGATGAAAGCTTATTTAATTGTACTTTTATATTATTTAATTCTTATATTAGATTTTCACCTTCTAGACATTATTTTATATCAATTTAATCTTTTTTTGTTTTGTTTTTGGTTTTGTTTTTGTTTTGTTTATTTACCTGATATTTATTGTATTTATTGGTATGTTATTTTGTTTTCTTTTTCTTCATATTTTTGTAAAGACTATAAACCTATTAAAGATAGTCTTAGTAATATTTCTTAATATCTTTCTTTTTTTTCGTTTATGAAATATGATTCGATGTATTTTTGTATATCTTTCATTTTTTTTTATTTTTTATTTTTTAATTATTATTATTATTAGTTTTTTTTTTTTTTTTTTTTAAAAAAAAAAAAAAAATTATAATTATTAATAATTTTTCTTTAATTTATTTTTAAAAAAATAAAAACTTATTCTCTTTAAATTAAATAAAAAAATAATTAATTTTATTAATAATTTATATTAATGTTAAAAAAAAAAAAA